GGGCATGGGGAAAAGAGAATATTTGGGGCGTGCTGGCAAGCAAGCAGCCATCCCCACTCTCCCAAGCCAGACTGACAGCTAGACATGGGACCCTGTACCTTGGGCTCTCTTGTAGGCACTCTAGAAATATGCTAGCTTGGGACACCCACCTGAAACAGGCGTGCTGACCTGTGTAGAAATCTGCATGCTGGAGGCCTTTGGTGGACTAGGTTGACCGGGGAGCGCTAAGGTCAGACTGCAGGCCTCCTGGTGGAGGAGACAGGTGTGAGAGTGCTTTTCTTCCACCCATGGTAGTGGAGCACCCGTCTTGGCTCAAGCCTATCTCAAAGCTAGGAAAGACACCTATTTTGCGGAGTGGTCTTCAGCAGGGTGTGATACTTCCAGGAAGGCCTGTTTGGAGGCCGGCTAGGGATCCCTTCCTGGTAGGAATTGCACTCTGGGGCCCAGGCTGTAGATCAAGACTGCCTTGAGAGATCTGCTCATGGGCAGTGGAGGGTGCCAAAGCGACTTGGCTTGCAAGGGTGCATGCATTTCTGGTCACTGGAGACCTTGTGTGTTGCAACTTGTCTTGGGAGGTGCCAGGTTGTCTGGCTACCCCTGGTGTCCCACATAAGTTATGGTGTGTTGATGCAGTGTTCTAGCTTGCAGTCAAAAATGGCAGAGGTCTTGAACACGTTCTGTCCCATGAAGACAGACTGACAGAGGGTTGCATCAATCCAGAGACAGGGGCAGAGACAGAGAGAGAAATCAGGAGAAAGAGAAAGAGACAAAAAAAGAGACAGAAGGAGGGAGAACGAGAGTGAGAAAGGAGATCTGGTTGAGCCAGAGTGCCTGCCATTGCCTGTGGTGAAGTCCTCAGAGGAGACTTTTGGTGTTTGACCTCGGGATCTCAGCATTTCTAGCAGGAGAAGGAGGCATATTTCGGGGGTAGTGTTGCCCACCTGGTTGTCAGAGATGATTTGATGGGAGTCGGGAGGCTTGGGTTGGCTAGTGAGCATGGCCAGAGCTGCGTCCTCAGCAGCTTGAACTTGAGACAGCAAGTAGAGCTTGCCCTGTTTAATGACCCCAGTGCACAGTGTTAGAGGATTGAGGTGCTCAGAGATGGCCCTGGGTTTTTTTTTCTTTTTTTGGGAAGAGTCTGCTTGCCTGCATTGTAGCTCCATGATGTGTAGGTCAGGTCGACCCTGGTGGTTTGATTGCAGAGAGGGTCCAAGGTGATCTGAAAGGGCACGGAGTGAGGGAGTGAACCAGGGCAAGGACAAGCTCTGAGACCCTGGTGGAAGCCTGGCACCTATGTGGCCTGGTATCCTGGAGGTTGAGGGCAGAGCAGGAGTGGTGAGAGGGCAGATGTGATCTGATCTGCCCATTGAGACAAGCCAGGCCCACCCATCCATCCCAGAGCCAGTTGCCCGCTTCCCACTGTAATGTTGGCATGTGCTTTGATGTCTTCACAGTGTGGCATTGCGTGGCCTGCAAGGCCATATTGCAGAGAGAATGGCCCAGCTTCCTTTGCCCAGGACCCATGGCACCTGAAACAGTGAGCCTCGAGTGAAGTTGCTTGGTGTTGGTGACCTGCAGGAGAAGGCCTGAGGCCCAAGGTAAGCCTCCCATGCCTTGTCCCAGGTGCTCAGGATCCTGGGGTCTTGGTGGTGCTGCGAGGACTTACCATCCCTGCTTCCCGGGCCTTTCCTCACCTGTAGCAGACTTAGGTCCTCCAGTTGCTTCCCATTTCCATGCAGAGACCCGTTGCCACCTGCACAAAGACGTGGCATGTCTTTGGACCCTGGACCTTGGGCTCTCTTGTGGGCACTCTAGAAATATCCTAGCTTGGGACACCCACCTGAAACAGGCGTGCTGACCTGTGTAGAATGCTACACGCTGGAGGCCTTTGGTCGTCTAGGTTGACCGGGGAGCTCTTCCTTGTAGGAATTGCACTCTGGGTCCCAGGCTGTAGATCAAGACTGCCTTGAGAGCTTTGCTCATGGGCAGTGGAGGGTGCCAAAGCGAATTGGCTTGCAAGGGTGCATGCATTTCTGGTCACTGGAGACCTTGTGTGTTGCAACTTGTCTTGGGAGGTGCCGGGCTCTCTGGCTAGCCCTTGGCGTCCCACATAAGTTACGGTGTGTTGATGCAGTGTTGTTGCTTGCAGTCAAAAATGGCAGGAGAAGGATGCAGATTTTTTTGTGGAGTGGTCTTCAGCATGGTGTAATTCTTTCAGGAAGGCTGTTTTTCGGCTGGCTAGGGATCCCTTCCTTGTAGGAATTTCACTCTGTGCCCCTAGTCCTCTTGGAATCAAACTTTGGCTTGAAGAACATCTGTGATTCATCTACACCCCTACAGATGTATGTAGACTGTCTTCTCATGGGCTTGGTCTTTCCTCTACTTTTCTAGTGATCATTTGCATTTGGAAAATAAAACTTGTCTTGCATGCTAGCAAGCAAGCAGCCATCCCCTCTCTCTCAAGCCAAACTACAGCTATAGATTTGTCCCTTGCCCTGTTCCACTCTCTAAGTTATTCTTGTAATATGATATCTGCAGACATCCCACAAAACATGCATACTGTCCTGTGTATAAATTTGCACACTCTATTCATTTGATGTCCCTAGTTTACCTTGGGACAATATGGTTGTACTGTTGGTCTCCTGGTGGAGGTGAAATTGTGAAAGTCCTTTGCTCTCTCTCACCCATGGTAGTTGAGTGCCCATTTTGTCTGAAGCCTATCTCAAAGCTAGGGAATACAGCTCTTTGATTGAATAGTTTTCACCAGAAGGTGATTCTTCCAGAAAGTCCTGCTTCAAGGCCGACTAGAGGTCCCTTGCAGGAATTGCACTCTGGGACTCAGGCTGTAGTTCAAGACTTTCTTGAGGGCCCTGCTTATTAGTTGTGGAGTATACCAAAGCAACTTAAGCTTGCAAGGTTTCATTTTGATCATTCGAGACCATGTGTGTTGCAACTTTTTTGCGGTCATTCAAGACTCACTGGCTTGCCCATGACGTACCATGTAAGTTAGTATGTATTGATGTACTGTTCTCTCTTCCAGTCCTACTTGGAGCACTCTTCAACACCGTGTTCCCCAGGAAGAGAAACTGTGAGAGTGTGGCACCCATAGACAGAGACAGTATCAGAGAGAGAAAGGAATGGGAAGAGAAAGAGAAAGAGAGCAAGAGACATGGCAAAAGATAGAGACAGAAAGAGAGTGAAAAACAATGTCGGGTAGACCCAGTCTGCCCACTATGTCTTATGTTGAAGGCCCGAAAAGAAATATTAGAGCAGTTTGACCTCTGGCCCTCAGCATTATAACATGAGGGAGCAGGTCAGATCCAGTAGCCTGGTTCACCTGGTGGTAAGAGAAATTCAGGGAGGGAGAGGTTTGGTTTTGGTAGTGTCCATGACCAGAGCTTGGTCCTAACACTTCAGATTCAGAAAAGGATGCCAGGTTGCCGTGGTTACTAAACCACGTACATAGTTTTAGAGGGGTGAGGTCTTCAGAGATGGCCATGAGTTTTTTTGGGAAGAGCCTGCTTGCTGGTAATACAGTTTTCTGATGTGGTGGCTGGCACAAAATTGGTTGTTTGACTGTAGAGATGGGCAAAGATGATCTTCAAGACCTCAGAGGGTGCCAGGGCAAGGGCAACCTCTGACACTGTGGAGCAAAACTGTCACAGATGTGGCAAGCCATGCTCGAGGGTGAAGGCAGAGTAGGAGTGTTAAGACAGCAGATGTGATCTGATCTGCCCATTGAGACGATCCAGGTGCACGTATCCCAGAGCCAGTTGTCCGCTTCCCACTGTAATGGGAGCATGTGTTTCCATGTCTTCAGAGTGTGGATTTTTGTGGCCTGCATGGCCATTGTGCAGAAATAAGGGCCCAGAATCTCTACTCAGGGCTTCAGTACCTGACTGAGCCTCCAGTGAAGTTTCTTGCTGTTGGTGACATGAATGAGAATGCCTGAAGAACAAGTTAAGCCTCACATGAGCTGCTCCATGTGCTCTTGATACTCAGGTCTTTGTGATGCTGTGAGGACTTACCATTCCTGTGTCCAAGACGGACTGCACCTCTCCTGTAATAGAAGTTCTTACTCAAGTTTCGGCCCATGATCCATGCAGGGACTCATTGCAACCTGCATGAGGATGGGGCATGACTTGGTGCTTCTCTCAGTCCCCCAACACCCTCCATCTTCTGAGTGCCCTGAAAATCCTTGTGCAAGGGCACACCAACATGCTCAAATGAATGATGATTCCCAGTCAAACATTCCTTGGAAATCTCAATGAAATGAGTGAAAACTCAGTACCACCACTCTCATTCAAAACTGAGGTCTTGCACCTTGGCTCACCGAAGTCCTCTGCGAGTCAGACACAGGCCTGAGAACCACTCCACTGCTCCTGCCCCACTCCAGCAGTAGCCAGACTCTCTTGCCATGGGCTTGATCTTTCCCTCACTCTGCAAGCGCTCATGGGCATGGTGAAAATAGAATATGTGGGGCTTGCTGGGAAGCAAGCAGCCATCCCTTGTCTCCCATCCCAGATTGACAGCTAGACATGTGATCCTGGACCTTAGGCTTTCTGTGAGGCACTCTAGGAATACAGTAGCTTTAGATACCCCCATGAAACAGGCTTGCTGACCTGTTTAGAAATTTTCACGCTAGAGTCCTTTGGTGGCCCTGGTTTACCCGGGGAGTATAAGATGGACTGCTGGCCTCCTGGTGGAGGAGAAAGGTGTGAAATTCCTTTTCTTCCATCCATGGTGGTAGTTGGCCCATTTTGGCTCAAGCCATTCTCAAAACTAGTAAAGACACCTATTTTGCTGAGTTGTTTTCAACAGAGTGTGATTCTTCCAGGAAGGCCTAGCAAGCCATTCTGGAGGGTGAGGCCAGAGTAGGAGTCATGAGAGAGCAGATGTGATCTGATCTTCCCATTGAGACGAGCCAGGCTCACCCATCCCAGAGCCATTTGCCTGCTTCCCACTATAATATTGGCATGTGTTTGATGTCTTCACAGTGTGGTATTTCAGGTCCCATGTTTCCAGAATGCAGAGAGAATGGCCTGAGAATTTGCTCAGGGCTTTTGGCACCTGACTGAGCCTCAAGTGATGTTGCTTGATGCATGAGAATTTTTGAATACCAGTGTAATCTTAATATGAATTGCCCCGTGTTGTCATGATACTTAGGTCTTGGTGGTGCTTCAATGACTTTCCCTTTCTTCATTCAGGCCTGAGTATACCTGTAGTAGATATTTGTACTCATGGTGCTTCCTCAAATCCATGCAGGGACTCATTGCAACCTGTAAGTGTGTTGGACATGTCTTGGTATTTCTCACACTCCCCAATACATGACCTATTCTCCATACCCAAAATGGTGCTCTGTTTTCACCCCAGTGTACTTGGATTGATGACAGTCTCTTCTCTAATATTCCTTAGATATGTTACGAATAATAAGTGAAATCTCAGTAATTGCGTATTTGGTAACTAAGTAGGTGCCCATGCACAAACCATTATTATAGACATATAGGACATACTTTTGTGATATGTAAATCCACTTAGTTTAGAAAAATAGTGGTATAATGTGTGTGTACATATATATATATATATATATATATATATATATATATAACTTTAAGAAAGGCCTTCCAACAGGAAACTTGAAAATGTTTGTATCATAGACTTAAAGTAAATCTCTTTCTCCCTAAATAGCTAAGGAGTAGTAGTTTATTATTGTTTCTCTAGGAGTTAAGTGACTGCTCCAGCATATGTGGGGACTAGGTTTTATTATGTTCCCCAGAAAAACAATGTACTATCACTCAGGGCCAGAATATAGATGGGTATAGGAAGTACCTACTTTTTGTACTAGTGACACCAAAACATTTTTAAAATGTCAGAACCGTTCATCAAAATTGTAGTAAATGAACACAGAACCCATGCTTAGCAGGATTGATCAGCCAAATGAAAGACAGGGGGAGTTCACCAAGAAAGCTTAAAGTCTCAGCTCATATCCCCAGGAATGTTGTCCTGGGGAAACAAAGGCACCTAGTTTCATTTGGTTGTCATTGACATCCTAAAGATTTCCCCTTAGCTTGGGGGTCTTATATACTTTTTCTTTAAGATTGAAGAGAACTTCAGGACTGGTTTGTATGATAAATACATTTTAATATAAGTTAAAGAAGAAAAGTTCCTCCAGGAAAACTGGGGGGGGGTCTGATAAATTGCTGAAGAAGACCCCAGACTCAAGTAATTTGTAAAAGCAAAGAACTTTTATTTATCAGCACATGGGGTCAACTACCTGTACAAAACTGCATCCCAGGATAAAGGTGCACAGGTCCTTGTAAGCATAGCTAGGGGAATTTTAGGAACAGTTAGGTAATCTCAAACATAATTGGTTAAGCAGGTAGTAGTTATATTAGTACATTTTTGATAGGCTGGTGTTTTAGTTTCTTTGTTTGCTTTTTATCTTTGGACACATTTGGGTAAGTTTCAGGTGAGTTTGCAGGAACTGTCCTTACTTGATCATTGTTCTGAGATACTGTGGGCCTGACTCAGGCCTTGTATGTGCTCTTTCCCTCATCCCTGCTGTCAGGGGTTTTGTGGATTCATAGCCCTTTGTTTAAGAAACTGAAACTTTGGCCCAGCTTGTAAAATGTAGGAAGTTTAGACCTCTCACTACATGACAGGTAGGAGATAAGGTAAGGTCAAAGAAAGAGATGGCTTGGGAAATTGTTTTTAGAATTTATGTTTTGTTTTGAGATAAACATTATACTTTTTAAAATTCATTTTTTTATGTTAGAATTTCAGTTTAACTCACATGTAGTATTTTTATACGTATTTATTATTTTGAAACAAATTTTATCATAACTGTAATTTTATATTTAAATTAAAACAAAATCCCTATTTGTGATTAATTTATTGCCAAAGACTTTGTTAAGATAAAACAGTTTAGAGGCAGTAATTATTCTCCATTGAAGGAACCCTGAAGCTAGGTTATCTTTAGTTAGATCTTCTCATTTGTTCCAAATATTTGCAAGTTGAAAGCCCATAATTTTCTACCACACTGTGATGTCTGAAAAAAATGGCCCCCATAGTCTCACAGGGAGTGGTACCACTAGGATGTGTGACCTTGTTGGAGTAGGTGTGTCCTTGTTCAAGGAAATATATCAGTGGGAGCAGGCTTTGAGGTCTCAGATGATCAAGCCAGGCCGAGTGTGGCATTCTATTCCTCTTGCCTATCAATCTAGATGTAGAACTCTCAGGTCCTTCTCCAGCACCATGCCTATCTGCTTGCCACTATGCTTTCCACTGTGATGATAATGAACCAAACCTCTGAAACTCTAAGGCAACCACAATTAAATGTTTTCCTTTATAAGAGTAGCTATATTCATGATGTCTCTTAATATCAATAGAAACTCAAAAGAAACTCAAACTAAGATACATACATAAAGTCCAGTAGAATATCAGATAAAAGTTTATCTCTAAATACTTTCTCCTTTTTCAGAAAATATGTTCCCCATATGTATTATTTTTTATTCCTTTCTTGAAAAAATTGCCTGTCTGTTTTTTGAATCTTAAATGCTGTTTTAATAAAACAAACAAAAAACAAAAAATAGTCCTGAGCCAGATATCAGGGTGAAAGCTGAAAGATCAGAGAAGCAGAACAGCCAGTCACTAGTTCTTACCTCTACAAAATCTTTAGCCTAAAGAGAGTGAGTTCTTGTTTCCTCACACCTTATACACCTTTCTCTGCCCTCCCTTAATACTTCCTGGGATTAAAGGCATATGTGCATCCCAAGCAAAGGCATGAGATCTCAAGTGCTGGAATTAAAGGTATGTGCCATCAGTGCTTGACCTCTATGTGTAATCTAGTGGCTGGCTCTGTTCTCTGATCCTCAGGCACTCTTGTTAGGGTACACAATATATCACCAAATTTCCCCTTTTGTGCCTCAAATAATAAAAGAAGGTTGTAGCTAATATAAAAAAACTATATTCAGTAAGTACAATAAGTTTATACAATAAATACAGTCAAGAATTACATTAACAATGTCCATTCCATTAACATTTGACAGATTCAGAGGAAATATTCCATTATTTATCCTTTCTTGGTGAGTCCAATATGTTGTACCTAATTCATTTTCTATCCTAACTTGTATTACCAACCAAATACTATCTTTTGATGTCCTTCAAAGTTATACACTTTACTCCTCTTTAGTGAGTTTCTTTTCTGAATTTGTGAACAAGACAAATAAATAACTATCTAGCCTTCAACATCCTCAGAAACCTGAGAAAGAAATAATATTAACCAAGTAAGTAGGAAGTGCAAACAAGCAACTTCCAAAAAATGTGAGAAATGAAAGAAACAGCTGGCTGACTGGACATTCACCCAAGATTTCTCTGCAATGTTGGGGCATCCATCTTTGGCCTACATGTCTAGCATATCTGACAGATTCATCTGTAAGGCAGGATTTTTCTAAAGGGCCATCCTACCTTGTCTTGGCAAGGTTTGGCAGTCCTTTCTTTTGTGTCCTGTTTGTCCATTTTAAACAGCATACTTTCAGCATTTGAGGCAAGGACATTTTCTTGCCCAGTGGCTAACTTGCCACAAAGAAAGTAAACTCCATATGGAGTTTCTTCGATGCCCATCATCTTCTCTGAAGTATGACATGTCTCATTGTCATAAGAAAAGATTCTATGTTATTAAAACATCTTAAATGCCATATTCTGTAGATCTCTATAGTATTTGAGGATGACCTGTCTATCTAAAATATATCTCTGTTTGACCTTAAAAGAATACCTAACCTGACTACATGTTTGATTGTAATAATTGACTAAATACTAACTTGCATTTCTTTATCTTAAATAATTAATAAAATCACCTCTTCATATCTTTTCATGAGCAATTTGTAATCTCCAACAAATCAAAATTTTCTTTACTGTTTCAAACATTCTTTCTAAAGTCTCTACATTTGAATCAGCTAGCAAAATGTCATCCATGTAGTGTTAAACTATAGAGTGAGGAAATTGTTTATGTATTACTTCTAAAAGCTCTCATACAAAATATTGGCACAGGATTGGGATATTCAACATTCCCTGTGGGAGAACCTTCCATTGATATCTCTTAACAGGCTGAGAATTATTATAAGTAGGTACCATGAAGACAAATTTTTCTCTGTCTTTTTCTTGTAAGGGTATTGAGAAGAAACAGTTTTTTAAAATGATAAGAGGCCATCCTTTAGGTAACAGAGTATGCAAAGGAATTCCAGATTGTAGAGAGCCCATTGGCTGAATTACCTTGTTAATAGCTCTTAGATCTGTTACCATTCTCTACTTACCAGATTTCTTTTTAATAACAAATACAGGAGAATTCCAAGGGCTGTTTGATTCTTCAATATACACCTGGCCTCTATGTATAATCTCGTGGCTGGCTCTGTCCTCTGATTCTCAGGCAAGTTTATTAGGGTACACAATACATTATCATACCTGTCTTTGTTCTATGTGTTTTGGTTTAGGCTTACATGGTGCTTTTGGGATTGATTGTCTCAGTTTTTACCCTGAGATCATTTTCTCTAACTGAGTCTTGGGGCTATCCTACATGTTCATGCAAACATGAGGGTACACAACACAGTGGGTGACCAATCACTCAAATGTTTAACCAGTGAGCCAATAAGGTTCCTTCTGACCCAGGAACACAGTATGTTTGTTGGGTTTTACTATGAGGCTAGTGCACATCCTTGGGTGTTCATCTGAACCTCTACCCATTTAGGTGTGAAGAAACAAGTCCCTCTCATCTTCTATATTTTTATTATCAAGTGTACATACAATTCTTAGACTAAAACCTTGGCAAGTCACAAAAGAAACAGCAGGAAAATGCAGAATTAGGCATTTAAGGAGTGTCAGGGGGCAAAGGCCAACTTATATCAAAACATTTCAAACACAAATATCCAAGCCAGGCAAAATGTCTTCAAAGCTTCCAAAGTGAATAAAATCCAACTGCCTTTAAGGATCTGAAAACAAGCAAGCAAACAAAACCAAACCAAATGCTTAGAACAAATTGCTATCAAAGCACACAAACAAGATACCTTAAAGCAAATACAAAGATTAATGGCATTAATGGTGAATATTCAGTCACCAATAATGTATTTTTGTAGCACTAAGAAAAAAATTCTCCCTTGGAGTCATTTAACCCAGAGTGAGTCCAGATATGAATTCTCTACTTCACACCTCCTATGTATTACCTCCTCTGTCTAATGCATGAATTTGAATGTGTGCCTGTATGAAGGCTGTCTTGTGAATCTGTAACGGTCTGTGTCGTATGTTTATGTGTGACCATGTGTGTGTGCAACTGTGTGTCTGTGTATGTATATCTGTGTGTCAGAGTCTGTGTCAGTGTGAGCATGTATGTTTTGTGTGTCTCTGTGTGTATTTCTCTAAAAAATGACTTTGCTCTGTTTTTACTGTATAGCATAGGAATATGGAATGAATGGAATAATTTGCAGAGATATTAAAGAGTTTTACCAGGGATAGGTCACTGGCTCCAATTGACTCTACCTGACCAGGACAACAAAACTAAGTACAAATATCATTGTTTATCAGACAGTATACACAAATGAATATTTACTTTAAAAGCTTGCTTTCAACTTGTGTATTTGCCATATTTGTTACTATCTAGGGGTCTTTACCATGTTCATTTTCCTGTCAGTTAGAGAAGTAAAAGGAAGAAAAATAGCTCAACAGGTAGCAGAAGAGAACATGAGCAAACAAATAAATCACCCACTAAGCAGACAAATTCACCTTCAATTATATGGTTGGTGTTGAGTCACTGAAGGGTCTCCCTCTTCTAACTGAGGATTGGTTGGTTTGAAGAAAGATAAAATGACTGACTGGGCCACAACTGTTAAGCAAACATGGTCTGATTTGACCCCAAAGTTTTCAACCAGTCCATCAGCAGGGGCTTACTGGCAGAAGAAAAAGCCTCCCGGAATTTTCTTTTAATCTGACAGGATTTTGTCTCAGTCAGGAAGGAGAGGAAGAATCCCAGAAGTTTACCACCTTTATTATTTATATATTGCCCCTCTCTTTATCTGTCTGCCTCTCAGGGAATCTATGTAATGCCTACTCTCTCACCTTCAGCAAAACATACACATGCATTATTTGAGGCAGGGGTATAGAAGGGTACATACTTTAAGATTACAGCTATGTGCTGGGTGTGGTGGCGCACGCCTTTAATCCCAGCACTTGGGAGGCAGAGGCAGGCAGATCTCTGTGAGTTCGAGGCCAGCCTGGGCTACCAAGTAAGCTCCAGGAAAGGCGCAAAGCTACACAGAGAAACCCTGTCTCGAAAAAAAAAACAAAAAACAAAAAACAAAAAAAAAAAAGATTACAGCTATGCATTATCTTAGTTTGTAAAATTTGATTATGTGGGAAGTTCAAGGTAAATACAGTTGTTGTTACATTGTTCCCTTATAGTCAGGTTAAACAAGCAGGCTGCATATATAGTAGAACAGCAGTCTTAAGCTTTAAGTGATGTCAAGTTGTATTATTAATCCTGGATTGGAGATTCAACAAATGTTCCAGTCTCTTAGAATTTAAGAGATTTTTTTCATAATGTATTACCACATCAAATATTATGAATGCAGATAAAAAAGGACATCTATCAAATAAGGATCCTAACAAAATGGCCTTCAATCAAACCAAGAATGGTCCAAGATCCTCAGAAAGAACTCACCTGAAAAAATAACATCAGATGGCTGGGATTCATTGGGTCCATGCAGGTACCTGGCTTCCATTCAAGTGATTTATCCAGAGAAAAGAAAATAATTTTTAGAGTTCCAACTTGAAGCCTAACACTTTTTGGGCCCTTTACTTTAGATCATTAACCCACTTGCTCACTTGGGAGTATTTTTGCTCAACAAATCAATTCTGTACTTATTTCTAAACATGTGACCCTGGAACAGTCATAGTAAAAACTGCTGCAACCTGGTCACAGAAGAGTACCATAAGCCACAGGGATGGAAAGAATTACAGATCTATTAGGTTTAGTGCCCTATGCTTTCTACAGGCCTCTCCCAGGTAGCTTTCTTATTATTTCTAAGTGCTTCTGGGAAATTGAAATGAAAAGGAAGAAGATATACTGGCATTATGGGTGCCCTTGCTATTGAAAAAAAGAGAAATTTGAGAGCATTTTATGCCTTTCTCATTTGTAGTTCTTAGAGCTTACAGATATAAACATTATATCCTGACTGGATTATGGGGAGATGAGAATTATTTACTGTTTTAGCTGTAGTTCTGATTTCAGAGGGCACCTGCTGGGATTTCCAGATTCTTGGATCTCAAAAGAGGGAACTGGACCAAGGGTATGTGCATAGTGATATAGATAGATAATTTATTAAGAGGAAAATGCAATCACAAGAGTAGAAGTAGGTCAGAGAATTGGGAAATAGTAGAAATTTACTTAAGGTTTATTTACTTTTTTTCTTATGCATTCTCTGTTGACTACATTCAGGTGGATGTCCGTCTTTCTATAAACTAGCTATTTTGTGTGTGAATTTTAATGGTCATTTCCTCATTTGTGCCTCCCCTTCATTTGTAGCCTTATCCTTAGGCTAGGTAAGGCTCTAAATAACTATGCAGTCCCTGTCAAGGTATGGTCCTGCCCATTCTCCTGAAAATCAAATTGATGCTTTGGCTTCCCATAGGAATTTTAGCATTTTTCTCATTACATCAGTAGAGTCATGGAAAAATTCAAATTCCTTTTTTAAAATTCTCTTATACATTACATCTTGACCAGTTTTTCCTTCTTCCATCCACTCCTCCCTGTCCCCCTGACCTTCTCCTTCAGATCTACTTCCCCTCCATTTCCCTTCATAAAAGAACATGCCTCCCAGGTATATCAACTGACCACAGCATAATAAGTTACAGTAAGACTAGGTACAAATCCAAATAACAAGGCAAGACAAAGCAACCTAGAAGGATGAAAAGTGTCCCAAGCACAGGCAAGAGTCAGAGACACCCTCCACTCCCAATGATAGGAGTCCCACAGGAACACCAAGCTATGCAACCATGCAACCATAACATATATGCAGAGGACCTAGTTCAGACCAATAGAGGCTCTGTGATTGTAACTTCAGTCTTTGTGTGCCTCTGAGCCTTGCCTAGATGATTCTGTGGACCATGATCTCATGGTATCCTTGACACCTTTGGCTCCTACAATCCTTCGTCCCCTGTAGATCTAACCAACTGCCTTATTAAGTAAGAAACACAGAATCAATGCAAGGAAGAAAGCCAAGAGGTCAGAGATAAGAGCTAAAAACCTTACCCTTCCTCTCGTGGTGGTCCTACCTCTCCGAAAGAGAACTACTTCCTGTGTCTGTCTTTTTTTATAGAGTTTCTTTTCTGCCTTCTCATTGGTTATAAACCCATCACATGACCTCCTAGTCACTACCTGTCTGTACAGACCTCCAGGTCTTCTATGGTTGGAATTGAGATTAAAGGCATGTGTCTCCAATGCTGGCTGTATCGTTGAACACACAGAGATCTACCTAGCTCTGCCTACCAAGGGCTGGGATTAAAGGCATGCACCACCACTGCCCAGCTTTCCTATGGCTTGCTAATAGCTCTGACCCCTGGGCAACTTTATTTATTAACATACAAATAACATTTTAGTACAAATAAAATATCACCATATTTCCCCCTTTCTATTTTAATAAAAAGAAAAAAGGAAAAATGTTATAACTAACATAAGAAAAACTATATAAAAGGTTAAAACTAACATAAGAAAAAGTACAATAACTATATATAATATACACAAGGAATAAATACCTAAACAATGTCTAGTCCATTTGTATTTGACAAATTCAGAGAAAATAATTCCATTATCTATCCTATTTTGGTAAGTCCAAAATGTATCTAATCCACTTTCTATCCTAATTAATCTTCAACTATAACTAACTAATCTTCAACTCCCTCAGAGATCCAAGAAGGAAAATAACATTACCTAATAAAAAATAAAAACAGTAAGTACATGTAAGCAACTTCCAAAAAATTGTGAGTTGACAAAAACAGCCAGCTGCCTAGACAGTCAGCTGAGGTTTCTCCACAGTGTTGGGGCATCATCTTCAGCTTATAGGCTTAGTGTATCTGACAGACTCATTTGTGAGGTAAGGTGTACACAAGGTCAATAGTTCAACCTCACATTGGGTGAGAGCACTCCATGTATCAGAAACACCTGAATTCCACTAGTGTCCTGTCATGATTCAGGATTTTAAATTCTGGAAATTGTTGATGTTTTTTTAATTCAGCTGTCCATTCTTCTTGGCTGTGTATATGTGGCTTCATCTCAGCATCCCGTTCTTCTTCACATCCCTCTATTAAATTCCAGTCTGCTATTGAGAGGTGTGAGCTTAGTTACTCTTCAAGAATAACTGTTCCATTGCACATCAGAAGCCATCGGCCCACTGCCTGTTCAGCTGCCTTTGAAGAAAAGGGCACTGTGCCATTTCCAGATTGCAAAGGCCACTTCAGGGATGGTGCCAAATTGTCCTGGCCTCAAAAGATGCCTTTTGAAAAAGCCATAACCACACTTGTTTTGCCAAGAATCAGTAGTCCCTTGTTTTGTGTCCTGTCTGTCCTGTTTGGCAGCAGTTGATTTGAGGATACTTTGTTGTCCAGTGGCTAACATTTGCCACAATGAAAGTTAACTCCATATGCAGTTTCTTCAATGCCCATATTTTCTCTAAAGTAAATTGGTACTACCAGGAGCCAACATGTCTCATAGTCATAACAAAAAAGAAAAACCTTCTAAGTTATTAAAACATTTTAAATGCCATATTCTGTAGATCTCTGAAGGGTTTGAACATGACCTGTCTATCTAAAATATATCTCCCCAATCTTGAAAACATATCTAATATGACTACGTTCTATTATAATGTCTAACTACTAACTTTCATTTCTTTATATCCTAATAGTTGGTAATAATATCATTCAAGGATCAAAACATTGCATTACATTGTTAAATGAACGGTATAAGTACAATTAGAAATATACATATAGCACTTTCTAACAATATCAATTTCAATATATATAATTTGTATATGATATAAAACAATCCAACCCAATGTAAAGTATTTAAAACTAGTAATTGTCTTTTTCTGTCCCCATCTTCTGCAGGGTTCCCCAAGCTCCATCTAATGATTCAAATTTCTTTCTTTTTAAAAAATGTTTAATTTATTTTACATACCAACCACTGATCCCCCTCTCATCCCTCCACCTGTTGCCCCCATCTTCCCCCTACCCCTCCTCCCCTCCTCCAATATGGTAAGTTTTCCCATGTGGGCACAGCTAAGCTTGGTACATTCAGTTGAGGGAGGACCAAGCCCCTCCCCACTTTACCAGGGGTGAGCTAGGTGTCTGTGATTTAAATTTCTTAAATAAGTTTATTTTAAATAGTCCAAAGAACTCTCAGCACAATTTTCTGATATACAGTAATTTGTTTCCTGCTAAGTTCCATTTACTCTCACCCGAGTGAAAATCATTATTAGTTACTGAAATCACTAATAGAATTTCAGTGAAAAAATTAACATGATAGGGGAAAAAATGTTCTAAGATTTATATAGAGCCACAAAAGGCATAAACATCAAAATCAACCTTGATGTAAATGAACAAAAGACAGATGAGTCATATATTGTTAATCCCACTGGGTAAGAATAAGACCACTTCTGTAGCAGGAATCTTAAAAGTTCTTATTAATAAAATCAAACCCGAGGCCAGTTATGGGGGTGAATACTGGAAAGTCATAGAGACAGAACAAGCCACAGCTATCTCACCTCACCAGTTCCTCAGCTGGTCCTGTTTCCTCAGACTGGAAGCTTCTGTGTCTTCATCCCAATGGCTCTCAGCTGAACTGCTGCTCGAAAGCCTCAAGCTTAACCAGCCAAATGCTTAACCAGCAAAATGCTGCTAGTTTCTGGTCCTCACACCTTATATATCTTTCTGCTTTCTACCACCACTCTCTGGGATTAAAGGCTGGCTTTCTGGGATTAAAGGCATGTGTCACCATGCTTGGCTGTTTCCAATGTGGCCTTGAACTCACAGAGATCAAGAGGAATTTCTGTCTCTGGAATGCTAGGATTAAAGCATGTGCTATCACTGCCTAACTAGTGGCTTTTCTGTTTTCTGACCCCAGATAAGTTTATTAAGGTACATGATATTTTGAGGAACACAATACCACCACGTTTCCTCTCTTTTTGTCTAAAATTAAAGAAAGCTTGTAACTAATACAAGAAAAACTATCCAATAAATATATACAATATATACAGCCAAAAATTACATTAATGATGTCTAGTCCATTAACATTTGACAGGTTCAGATAAAAACTCTATTATATATATTAACAATGTCCAGTCCAGTAACATCTGA